AAATTTCTAAAAATAGAAATACATCTTCAAAAATCCCCAAATTAAATTACAATCATCTCCTAGACGTCGCTCAATTTATAAAATTGTTAAATTCAGAAAAAAACTTTCATAGAGGCTCGAAACAATTTTAAACATCTAAAAATACGTTTCTTGAAATTCCTAGCAGCTTTAGTGACCAATCAAAATCTGTCACTAAAAGCCTGTAACGCCTGTTGCTAAAACCTCAGAATTCTATCCTCACAAAAAATCACCAAATCAATCGACCTAACTCAAAGGGATCGAGTTCTCTTACCTCTAGAACGTGCCTAGGCCTAGGTTGGATGACCCGGGACGTTGATATCCTTGTTGATCGAACCCTCAAACGTCACTGCTAGAACACGAACGGGATGGGGTTGGGATCGGGATCAGGCGATAGCGCTCCCTCTTCTCCTTTCTTCTTCTCCTTCTCGCACCAAAGATCCCTCCGCTTTGCTCCTTGCTAGCTGCTGCCGCTGCTGCTGTTTGGTTCGCGAGGGAGAGTGATGGGCAGGGAAATTGGAGGAAGTTTTTTTTGTGCGGCCTTTTTTTTGGGTTGGGGGAAATTAATACATTAGGGTTTGTGGGGGTACTAGGGAGAGGTGTAAGTGGAGGCCGCCATTCCTCTGCTACTTTTATTTTTAATAATGTAATAATAATAATATTATTATATTATTATTCTTAATCCGCGGTTGTAACTCTTAGTACGTATCCGTCGACCCAAACGATCACGTATTAAAGTCGAGTCTAAATCTAAAATACCGGGGTGTTACATGGTAGTTATACTAGAGACTCGTGTTCATGAAGAAAAGGTGAAAAAGATTATAGAAAGTAAGTTTTCAGGCTGGAAGTACAAGGACACTTATACTTCTGTCCGGGTTGGTAGAATTTGGGTTTTGTGGAAACAGGAGCTGAATTTTACAGTCTTGGACAACAATGGTTTCGATATTCATGGTCTGTTCCTAGGGGCATTCTCTACTCAATTCACATTTGTCTATGGGTCAAATGAGGTGTCAGAAAGGCAGCAGTTTTATCAAGAACTAAAGTTGAAAGTGGATTTGTCAATTTGCGTGCCAGTGGGTGACTTCAATGCCATTGTAGATCACACTGAGTCTTCCAACTCAGGTGGCCTTGGAGAGAGTGCACAACAGTTTGCCTCGTGGATTAGTGATATGCAGTTACTAGATCACAAGGTTCAAGGGCTATGGTTCACTTGGTCAAATAAGCAATTGGACAATCCTATTGCGAGAACACTTGATCGTGCTCTAGTAACATAAAAGTTGATAGAGTGTCACCCTAGGAGCTCTGTGAAGGCTCTCCTACCTGGTTTGTCAGATCACTGTGGTCTCTTACTCTCTACAGACTCTAAGACAAAACTTTTCCTCGTCCTTTCAAGTACTTTAACTTCTGGAAAAACCACCGAAGTATGATCGACTTGTAAAGGAAGGATGGCTTTGCCCTGTAGAAGGATCATCAATGGCTCAATTGTACCACAAACTAAGACAAATTAAGGTTAGATTGAAAACTTTAAATAGAGAACACTATTCTAACATCCATGAAAGGGTGAAGAAGGCAAAGGTTGAGTTGTCTCTAGCTCAACTTAAAGTATTGGAGTGCCCTGCCTCTTATGCCTTCCAGGCAGAGAAGAGGTGCATGGTCGAGCTTCTTGAGATCCATAAAGCAAAGGAAGCTTTTACTCGTCAAAAGTCAAGGCAGCAATGGGTAAACTGTGGAGATTTAAACTCTGCATTTTTTCATAGCATGATCAAGACAAGGCAGACAAGTTATTCCATTAAGCAACTAGTAACTGAGGATGGCAGGATCCTAGAAGATGTGGGAGACATGGGTAGGGAGGAAGTACAGTTTTATCAAAAACTTCTGGGGACTCCGGATCACTCCTTAAAACGGGTCACAGTGGACACTCTAAAGCAACTCCTACAGTCCCACTTAGAGGGAGACAACTCAGGGTTATGTGCAATGGTTACAGCAGAGGAAGTAAGGAGAGTTGTTATGGGCATGAAGAAGGGTAAAGCTTATGGATATTTGGACACTGATTGGGGATGTAGTTGCTAAGGCCATCCAAGATTATTTCCATACTGGCAAATTGAGGAGAGTGGTAAACTGCACCAAAGATCTCTCCCTATTGTCAATAATATCATTAAAATCACCAAAAAACACTTCAGGCTCAAGGAAAACACCATGCCTTCTCAACTCATCATAAAGAACAACTCTATCAGCCACCTTATTAGGGCTATAAACAGAGTAACTCTGCAAGACTCATTTCAAAAGCTAACTCGAACACTTATAAAGTGCTCCCCCATACCCACTTCACTGACTTTCAAATACGATTTCCATAACAACCAAACCCTTACAGATTGAGAGTACTTATAGTTATCTAGATGTGACCAACTACTAAACTGTTTATGTAGGATATCAACAACATTATTCTGTAAAACTCTAGTTTCTAAAATAGCAAACACTCTATTTGTAACTTAGATACTTGCTTATTTACGTATCTATGTTTCTCAGGGACATTAAACCCCCTGAGATTCCAACATAGGAACTTCATTTACCTCTTTTTTTGTCCTCCTGCCCTTACATGGAGAAACTGGGGCTATAAGACCGATTCCCCTCGTGTTAAGTGGAACACGAGACTAGACAGTTGAGGTTGGAATCCTAATTGAACTTCCTTGAGGTGCAGGGGTTGAATTTTTACCCTTCCTCGCCACTAACTAAAAACCATTCTCATCAATCAAACTAATCATAGGAGTTACTGAGCTAGAAGCTTTAGTAGTAACCTGCAATCCCACCTTATAAGTACCAAAACTAGATTTATTCGAGGACTCTAAAGAAGCTGGCAGAACTAAATCTGATTCAACCTTATCCTTCCCCTTATCAAACACCACCACTTCACTATGTGGCTGAACTTCAATAGCAAGACACAAGACCTAGTAGTCGTCCCACACTCAGCACCTAAAGCCCAAACTCAGCGCATTGCTCATAGCGAGCTGGAGTATGAAGGTAGTGAACAAATAAGATAATACGTTCTCCACCCTCTGGCCGAATCTGAAGCTCATATGTGAAAAGTGAATCAACCGACATCTCAATACACAACTTAGCTGTACTCATCTGAGCACCCATTTTCGTCGCCTAATCCATCCATAATGGAGTGCCCAACAAACTCGCCACCCTGCTCAACCCTTCGACCATCATATACGCCAATGGCAACTCCCTAATACGAACCCAGATCAACATCTTAGAGCAATTCATCTTGATTGATTGAATACCTGGAACCCACTTACGAAGGAACAACGATATGTTTTCACAGTGCCAAGGCCCGCTCTCAAACACCCAATTGCTCGTTTCCTCACTCTCAAACTGAAACTGAAACATATTTGCACCAAAAACAGACACAAAAAATCTGCCATCTCATCCCCAGAAACGCTGAGCCTAGCGACATATCATAGCAATCGAAGGAGCTTCAAAGAGAAACTAACCTACAAGAGCATTCCGCTACTGAACCGCTCCCTCATCACGAACTGCGTGAGGGATGACCAATTCACCATCCATCAATGGTGGAGCAACATAGCGAAGGCGATTCCCTTCCCCCAAACCGAACAATTGAGCGCAATTCGTCAGCTCCAGCGTGGCCATGCCGTCGAGAGACACGTTCCACCAGCTAGGTCAGAAAACGAGAAAGAAGAGAGTTACTATTCGCTCCCTAAAAAGTTGAATATATCGCACTAGCCTCATACAAATCTACTCTACTGCCCTCCTTCTTACCTTTGTTGAATCAAACATGGAGGCGAAAACTGGGTAGGCCTTGATAATGAATGGGATTTTCCTTCATCATCCCCGACTCACAGTTGCGGCCTTCTACAAATCCACAGCCCGCACACTTAGTAAATCTGTCGCCTCTCAATGCAAATCCATGAGTAGTCGCTAGACGTTCGGCTTGCCCCGACCTGTCATCCGAAAGGAGCTAACCCATCCCAAACCATCATCGCGCTTGTGCTTTGCCCGCCTCTCCTGCTCGTGGAACGGGTTGAAACCCCATCGCCGACGATGATCAGAAAGGTAAGAACCCGCCCCAACTTCATGAAGACTTGTTTTCAACCCGTATGGCGAGTAAAACCAGAAAAAAATTCACGGACGGAGAATTTCGGCCCAGAGGTGAGCGACGAAAGTCGTGGGGGTGGATGGTCGGATCCCTTCTTCCCCCTTAAGGTGGGTGCCACTGAGTTCATTCTTTCTCTTCTTCTTCCTTAAGCTGCATCGGGCGTGGATTGGCCGACGCAAACAGAAAGAGCAGGGGCAGTGAGGTGGTTCATGTCGGCTTTAGGTGGGCCTACAAAGATGGCTCGGTGATCGGTTGTCTTCGCTTCTTCTCTTCTTTAGATGGAGGTGGATGGCGACAAAGGAGTCGGAGAAGGCTAGAAGGTAGGCGGCTGGGGTGGGGATTCCATTAGGGTATTTTGTGACAATATAAGGAAAGGGGTAAAAGGGCCAGTTTGGTACAATTTAGGCGAAAAAGTTAAACTGCTCACAGGCCAAAGTGTGAGTAGATACTCACTGACCCATGAGCAAGAGGAGAGAGGGCATGTGGCTTTTTTGGGCGAGCCGAAATTATGGGCGGAGTAAGTGGGCGGTTTTTGGGCGGCCCGAAAACCTGGGCGGGAGGTGGGCAGTTTTTTGGGTGGCCAAAATTTTGGGCGGGAAAGTGGGAGAAGAGTGGAATAATTCGGGGTGGGCTTGCAGCCTAGTAAGGGCCGCCCGCCGAGGGCCCATGGGCCGAAGGCACATCAAATTAATTTTCGGCCCATTTTTCTTTGTGAAGGCAATTTTGGGCGGGATTTTGCTGAACAAAAAGGAGGAAGGTTGGATATTTGTTGAACTAAAAGGGGAAGGAGAGCATTTATGATCATCTCAACCACCACTTCCACTTTTTCCTCTCTCTCTCCTTTTTTCCTTTACTCAGCCGCCGCTCAACCTTGCCGTCCTCTCTCTTCTTGCCGGCGATCCTCTCCTTCCGGCGAGCAGATCCTTCCGGCGACCCTCTCCTTCCGGCGAGCAGATCCTTCCGGCGACCCTCTCCTTCCGGCGAGCAGATCATCTGGACAAAGGATGATTTTCGACGACGACGTCGAGTTGGACGGTGTGGCTGCCTTCATTGTAGAAGAAGAAGAACTCGATCCTACAATAGATGAATTTGTTGATGAAGACTCAGATGGTGTTGGTGACTTCATTGTAGAAGAAGAAGAAGAAGAAGAGAGTGAAGGTGGATTCTATTATATATATATATATATGTTTGTGTTGTTGAGTTTTGTTGTGTGCATTGAATGTTATTTAATGGTGTTGATATTATTTTGGGTGTAACCTCCTGTTTCATTGGGTTTTTGGGTGTGGATATTATTTGCTTTTGTCATGGATACATTGTAAAAGCATCTAAGATATTTACCTGTGCATGTTGGATATTAATATGGACGTGTTGAAAGTGGTTGATATTTTTTTTGGTTTTTGGGTATGGATATGCTTTAGAGTGTCATGGATATGTTTAGTGATAGGATAAATATTATTCTGGGTATATTGGATATTTTGGTGGAGGCTACTGATACATTTATGGAACAAAAGGATACGATGTAATTGAAGGTTGGATACTTGTCGAAGCCTAAGAATTCAGTCTGTTTATGGGTATGATTTAGACGTCTATTTGATACTATTGTGGGCATGTTGGGTAATTGTCTGGGCAAGTTAAATGTGGATACTAACATGGCCTCATACAATTAAATCGCAGCTCACAAGACATCGGACCTAGAAGATGAGGAAACGAGGAAGAACATATTTTATCGGACTAAGGAAGAGTGTTTGGCTTTCTATAAACGCTATGCTCACGAAAAGGGTTTTGGTGTTCGAAATGGTGCTCAACACCAAAAAAAGATGAAGAATTCTAATGGAGAGGTGGAGAAAATATATTTCTACCTTTATTACTTTTGTAATAAGCAAGGTTGGACTTCCACTAGCGAAGTAGATGTGGAGAAACAAAAACAGTCCGAAGACAAAGTTGTGGAGACAAAGCGTCCTAAAAGAAAGAGGCCTCGAGTTAGGGTTGGATGCAATGCCCGTGTTCGTTTTCGATGGGATGAATCTAGAGACGGATATGTGGTGTATGAATTTGTGGGAGGCCACAATCATGATTTGCACTCCACCGAGCATACGCACCTTATCAAGTCCAACAAGTGCATGAGTGATGCTCAGAAAAAGATGGCCGAAGCTAATCGCGATGCCGGGATGAGTCTTAGTGCATCGTATCAGTTATTGGCTGACTGTGCTGGTGGCTATCAAAATCTGAAATTTTCCAAATACGATCAGAAGAACCACTTGAACAGTAGAAGGCAAAGGAAAATGGCTCGTGGCGAAGCGACTTATTTGCTTGACTACTTTGAGGACCAAAAGGAAAAGCATCCTGGCTTCTTTTATGCTGTAGAGGTAGATTCCGAGGAGAAAATTGCTAATATTTTTTGGGCGGACAGTAGGATGCGTGAAGATTATGCGCTTTTTGGAGATTCGGTCTCCTTTGATACCACCTTCCGAACCAATAAATACTTCCGTCCACTAGGTACGTTAATCACTTAATTGCCTTAATTTTATTCGACACACGTACGGTTATGGATTGTCAGTAATAGTTGTCAGGAGCATGGATGTTTGAATAGAGTGTTGGGTGGTTCAAGAGTGGACTCTTGTGATCCGATATTGACATGGCCTCACAGGATATGTTTTGGTAATAGGACGAATATTTGTTTGGCATTATGAGATACTAGTCTGGGTTCTACAGATATTTGTTGACATGTTTTGGGACAATATCAATTCCTAATTCTCTTAAGTTTTTTCGACACTCGTTCGGTTATGCATTGTCATTAATAGTTGTCTTGTGCAGGGATGTTTGTAGGTTTCAACCACCATCGTCAAACTTGTGTGTTTGGTGCTTGTTTGATGTATGATGAGACTACACCGTCTTTTGAATGGTTGTTTTTAGCTTTTAGTCGGTGCATGAAGGAGAAGCTCCCAGTCACTATTTTTACTGATCAGGACGCCGCCATGGCTGCTGCCCTTAGAAAGGAGTGGCCTACTGTGTTTCATGCCCTCTGTACTTGGCACATTCTCATGAATGCGAAGAAGCATCTTCGTAAGGACAAGGCATTTTGGAAAAAGTTCCAACCTCATCTTTCTTATATTTTCTACGACATCGACAGTGAGAGAGAGTTCGACATGGCCTGGAGCACAATGGTTGCTGATTGTTTCCCTAATAGTGAAATTGCAGACGGTCACCCATGGTTGGAATATTTGAAGAAATTTCGTCGTCGATGGTGTTCCTTATGGTTGAGAGATCAATTCACAGCCGGGATGTTGACTACGCAAGCCAGCGAGTCATGCAATGCACAAGTGCGACTTTTCTTGAAACCGAAGCATGATTTGGACTTGTTTTTCATTCACTTTAGCAGGTATGCAGAATATTTCTTTGCCTTTCTTTGATATTAGTCCATTCAAGTTTTGGATATGTTTCAGCATTGTCCGGATATTTATATGCTATTGTATAGATATTACTTTGTGTAGTTGCGATATTAGTATTGGTTTTTGTGGATATTAGTCTGGGCAATAAATTCTTTCTCGTGCTTTGTTAATGTAGTTTGTTGGCTGAAAAAAGACGAAAGGAGACTGAGTCAGACTACAATGGGAAACAATCGGTTCCTTATATTATGTTAGAGGATAGCCCGATCCTACAACATGCGGCAAAGGTCTTTACTCCTGACATCTTCAATCGGATACAAAAGCAGTATTTGAAAACTGAACCCTATATAATGGAGACTCTCTCAGATACCAGGGATGATGGCATGACTGGCTACCTCACATATATGATAGAGGATGGTGAGCGTAGTGATGAGCGTGTCGTTCTCGTTGATATTTCTACGAGGACATTGGTATGCGAATGCAGGTTGTTCAGAACTTTCGGAGTGTTATGCCGCCACATGATTAAAGTGATGCGGCATCTTGGAGATTTTGGGGAAGCCAGTATGAGAAGTATTCCAGATCATTACATACTCGAGCGATGGACGTTGGAGGCGAGAAAGAAAGTGGTTGTTGATGTCGATGGTTGTGTTGGTCCTTCAGCTAACAGTGAGAATGATGCAGGAATCGGTATAGCAATGCGGTACCGAGAAACCACTGCAATGTTGAATCAACTAGCAACGAAACTGTCGATGGCCGAGGAGAAAGACTACAATAAGTGGATGGGAGTACTCAAGAAAGTGTGCAATGAGGCAAACAAGGCATTGTCAAAGACTATTACTAGTGAGGACAGTAAGTGTATTCACTAATATTATTTGTAAATTGTTTGAGTTTAATATTATTGCATTTACTAAATTTTGTAACATTGTAGGACGATCTATACCGATAACTGGGCTGACTTTGAAGGAGAAGAGTAATCCAAGGAGCAACGGTAAAGAACGTTACAAGTCTATGAATGAAAAGGAACGCCGTCGAAAGAAACGTGTCTATAGGAAGGGAATGGCATCAAATGAAGCGGTCACGCCGAACAACAATACTCAACCGGATGACCATCTCAGTGATTTGGATGATACTATTGCTCAATGGTAATGAATATAATGTTGGGTGGGTCGAGTGTGATCTGTTGTGATCTGATATTAACATGTGAATCCAGGATACGTTTTTTGATGAAGTGGATATGAATCAAATTGTAACAGATAACATTCTGGGCAATATGGATATTTATTAGAAGTGTAGGTAGATATTAGTCCATGCTTCGTGGATATCAGTATTTATTAGAAGTGTAGGTAGATATTAGTCCATGCTTCGTAGATATTTATTAGAAGGGAATAGCACCAATAATATTTAGGGATGGATGCTATTTAGGGTTGTATACTAATTTCCTCGAAGAACAGAAAAATATCCATACTGCACAGACAAATACCTTCTTTAATCAAAACAAATATCAGAAGTTCACAAACAGATATCCGATGAAACTAAACAGATATCCCAAACACACAGACTAATATCAGTACTGCCCAGAACGATACCCTTCATTTCTTCACGGTCTCCTCGGTGGTGTCTTCTTCATCTGACTCTAAAAAACCGGGGAACATTGCCTCGTCCCAATCCATGTGAAACCCACACCCGTTATCATTGTCGTACTCGTACATCCGACATCGGAAATACCTCTTTGGTGGGTTGACTCCATCAACAACAAGTCGCTTAGCAGCTCTCCAACCATGGTAACATAGTATAACACCATCATATTCAAACTCATCCACCAAAAACCGGCGCTCTGGTTTAGGAGTTTCTCCAGACATGGATTTTGCTTTGGAAGAGAAGTCAAGAAATTGAGAGTGGAGGATAGTGAAGAAATTTGGTTGTGTATGATTTGTCTTAAATAGACAAATGCAAAAAAGGTAACATGAGTACAGCAGTAGCAAAAAAGATCACATGAGTACAGTAAGAAAAGAGGTCACATGTGAATAGTGAAAGAAGTAATCATTGATACTATTGTACTTGCTGCTGCTAATACTAATATCTAGGGAGCCTAAACTAATATCTGTACATGTTCCAGTACATATCACGTTTGCCTAGACAAGTATCCATAACAAGTGGTTAAATATCCACTGCACCACAAAAACGTATCCTGGAATCACATGTCAATATCTACCAAAATATCCTCCATCCTAAATATGAACCATCATCCATTCCTAAATATGAACCTCCTAAGTTAAACAGTATAAACTATCCAGGAATCACATGTCAATTTCTCTTCTTTTTCCCTTTCCTTTTCTCTTTCTGCATACTCCAATCTTTCGCTTCTTGAATTATTGCCTCCTTGTGGCCATTATAGTTCCATAGCAGGAGGTTAGCTGCAATCCGTGTTCTCTGTTCCTCCACATGTTCCGGCTTCTGCCAACTCCTTTTACATTCCACCGGAAGGTGACCCGCCCATAGCTCCATGTAAAGGCAAGCGAATACACCGCAATCATGGTTGCCAAATTGCTGAGGAACGTCAGCAATGCTGAAATCCCACTCATCCAATTGACAATCGACCCCTTGCTCTTTCAAGAACTCTGACACATACTCAAATATCACTTTCCCCACTGGTCCATGATCCTCCTTAGCCACTCGGGCATTGGGCTTTTGGCTGTCCAGTAGGAAAGTCTTCCTATTCTTCATGTCAGCGACATACACTCGGTAGTGATCATCTCGATACATTGGAAAGAAGATCTGAAACAACCCAAATTCATATCTCAACAACCCAGATTAATATCTCAACAACCCAGATTCATATCCATTAAACCGGTACCAATATCAAGGAAAGTAAAAAACATATCCAAATATTGAAGACACTTACATAATCACAGCTTTCCAAGTTTTCTCGTTTCAGCAAAGGATTATTCTTGATCAAGGCAATATACCCCGAGACTCTCGCCTTGTCCATGGGCTGCTTTTTTGTAGCATTAGTGACGGCATAATTCTATTTAGAAGAGACAACAATATCAAATTAGACATTTTCAACATAAATATGATCTAAGTAGTGAAGATAAATACTTACTACATATGTCCACGGGAAGACAATTCTCTTTACCAGCTCCTTACGTTCCTCTTGGGCATTTAGGAAGTGCCCGTATACTATAATTACTTGGAAATGAACCCAACTTTTACGCTTCAACGACAAAATTTGGCAACGGCTAAGCTTGCCCTTTGGAGTTTCCACGATATAGTTGTGACTGTAAAACAAAAATGAAAAACCAGGTTAGTAGCCATGAATTTGACAGATTGAAATTGGTGATTTAAGAAGGAAACATGACAACTTACTCATCTTTAGCTGTGGTACTGAAGATGAACTCAACCACTTGCAGTGCCGTAGCGTCGAGTTTCGTCGACAGAGACTTTGCCAAAACGTACACTGATGAGTTGATTGGGTAATGTTTTGATCTCTCGAATGCAGGAGTTTTTAAAGTTGCCTTCCATGCTTCTGGTGTAATAGAGTGCATAAACTCTGCCACCTCCTTAGTCATAGGCCTCTCACTTACGAGAATATCATCATCGCTATCCTCCAGCATCCTCTGGCATGCTGCTGCTATAAGCTCCCCCTCTGATGGTGCTGCTTCACCTTGCGTCAGAACCTCAGTAGAAGGATCGAACACAGTAGTAGTATCCTCGGAAGGTATCTGCAAAACAACAGACAAATATAGACAAATTCAAAACAAATATCCTGGCTTTCCAGGCTAGTATCCAAATAAATAGAAACAAATATCGAGGAAGCCTAAGCTAGTATCCATAGAACAAAAAACAAATATCCAGAGACTAAAAGACTAATATCCATAGAAAACAAAACAAATATCCTGGCTTTCCAGGCTAGTATCCAAAGAAAATGAAACATATATCCAGGAAGCCGAAGCTAGTCTCCAAAGAAACGAAAAAAATATCCTGGGAGAACAAACTAATATCCTTTGAAAAAGAAAGAATTATCCAAGACTAAAAGACTAATATCCATAGAAAACAAAACAAATATCATGGCTTTCCAGGCTAGTATCCAAAGAAAAAGAAACATATATCCAGGAAGCCCAAGCTAGTCTCCAAAGAAACAGAAACACATATCCAGGAAGAACAGTCTAGTATCCACAGAAAACGAAACAAACATCCAGGAAGAACAGACACTACTGGTATCCTCCAAAATTTACCGTAGTCGGGGATGTCTCTATACTCTCTTCAGCAGCAGCAGCGCTCTGGAGAGCAATCTCCATCACATTCACTTGACCAAAAATGGACTCCGAATCCCGAACCTCCGGATCAACAGCAGGCTCAGAATCCCGAACCTCCGGATCAACAGCTGGCTCAGAATCCCGAACCTCCGGATCAACAATGGACTCCGAATCCCGAACCTCCGGATCAATAGCTGGCTCCGAATCCCGAACCTCCGGACCAACCTCCGGATCAACAACAGGCTCCTCCCGAACCTCCGGATCAACAACAGGCTCCTCCCGAACCTCCAGATCAACAACAGGCTCCTCCCGAACCTCCGGATCAACAACAGGCTCCTCCCGAACCTCCAGATCAACAACAGGCTCCTCCCGAAACTCCGGATCAACAATAGCTACCTCCCGAACCTCCGAATCAACAACAGGCTCCTCCCGAACCTCCGGATCAACAATAGCTACCTCCACATCAGTACCCGAATCAACAACAGGCACCTCCACCTCATGCTCGACAATCGACTCTGTCTCAACCTCTAACTCCACATCCACCTCATGCTCGACAACTGTATCTGGCTCCAGAACCACCTCGGCCTCCTCCTGAGTCTTCTCACGTATTCTCCGAGAGTACACGCGGCTGAACATATTCTTGCCTTTCACGATACCCTCCTTTTCCATTTCCCCTTTGGTCACGGGACCCAATTTTGCCAATCTGCCCCTCTTCCTTCTTCGCTTTGGTCGCTGAAAAAACACGAGGCGCCTGTTATCCAACTATTACAGAGTAATATCCAGACAAGAGGCGCCTGTTATCCATAAAGCACAGTGTAACATCCAAACATTTAACAACTGTTATCCAGACCACACAGAGTAATATCGACACAAGAGGCGCCTGTTATCCAGACAGGAAAGAATAATATCCAAACGGCGTGCAACTATTATCCAGACAGAACAAAGTAATATCCAAACTCGGATCTCATCATTCGATACAGCACACAAACTTTTGTTCAAAGCAATCATGAAAAGAAATAGTATCCAGAACAAACAATACATTAAAGTAACAGAAACACATCAAGAAAACAAACTTTTGTTCAGCCATTCCAACATGGCAAATATAACATCCTAACAATAACATTACAACCACTTAAACAGAAGAGAATTGCAAAGTTCAATTGTTTCCTTGATGGCGCATAATGACGACTCGCCAGATACTATCCCGCCTTGTTTCCCATACATCCACCATTTTTTCAGTCAATGACTCCAATGCCTTAAGCTACACATATATTGAAAACAAATTTAGTTCGCTACATGCACCCCATGTCTATTAACCCACGATTTTGAGATGCAAAGAGAAGATCTACATACCTCAGCGTCCTCAAGGGATTCCAAGTCGACATCCGCCCACCAATCAGTAGCAGGAGCCGAGCTGCTCGATCCTGATTCCCAATCCCTCCTGACACGCTCTGGACGGAAGCGGGATCTCACTTCTTCCCTTGACAATAACATGGGACCCATGATATATTTGTCAGCTACCTTGGGGATATTTGAGCACACCTTATCCACCCTTGGGTCGAACCAATAGCTGCAGGTCGGGATGGTTTTGGTGGCAAACCCTCGCACATTAAGGAAGTCTAGCAAATGGATCTACAAAAAACGTTCACAACAGATATCAGGAATGAAATGAACTATTATCCCTAGAATGTTAACTAATATCAACCATCAAATAACAAATATCAACAATATTAAAGTAGAAGTTACCATTAAGAAGTGGATATCTCCGAGGGGCCATTGCTGTTTCCCAAGCGCCCTAGCATCAGCTTCATTTTCCTTAACCCGACCCAACTCAAACTTCAGATTACGAGCAACAAAACCACTCCAATTAAAAGTGGCAATGTCCTCCATCATTCCAACCATGTACTCTGCATAATCGAGATCACAAAGTCTGGACATCTTTGGGGCAAGCATTGAACCAAGAGCAAGCAACAAAAATTGCTTCACCGCTGCTGAAACAGGTGGTCTCCTTTTCGGTGCATCATCTGGACCACCATATGCTTCCTCCCTAAGATCCATAACTTCTACATTTCGACTACGAGTACACTCCATGTTGAGCTCCTCCTTGAACATTTCAAGCATCTTGTCGTTAGACTTGACGACATCAATCTCAGCACCACCAATAGGCAGCCCATATACACGGGCAACATCCTCAGCTTCGATGGTAAGCACCTTCTTGTTATCCCCTTCACCGAAAATGAATGAATGGGTCTGCACATCAAACTGTGCCATCAAGGAATCGAACAACTTCTTAGGAACATTTGCCAGACGAAGCTCCAATAGCCCTCCAAATCCGGCCTTCTCCAACTCCTTCTTGCATGCTTCGTAGTACCTTGGCTCTTCCTTCCAGTATTTTATAACATCTAGCAGAGATTTGGTGTGGCACCGAAATCTGTACCACGGCTTGCTTTGTCCTAGAACGTGGACCTGTGGAACGCGGGCCTGTGCACGAACTTGAGCTGCGAGTTCAGCATCTTCTTCTTCCTCATCCTCCTCTAGCTGTGGCGGTGGTGACGGCGATGGATTTTGTCGTGGTCTCTTCACGGTGAGCTTAGCCCTGCACGAACAAATATCGAGATATATCAAACAATTATCCAGGCAACTCACAACATATATCATGCTGGTTAATAACACATATCCATATATATCAAACAATTATCCAGCCAAGTCACAACGGATATCATGCTGATAAAAAACCAATATCCAGATATATCAAACAATTATCCAGGCATGTCACAACATATATCATGCTGGTTAATAACACATATCCATATATATCAAACAATTATCCAGCCAAGTCACAACGGATATCATGCTGACAAAAAACCAAAATCCAGATATATCAAACAACTGTCCAGGCATGTCACAACATATATCATGCTGGTTAATAACACATATCCAGATATATCAAACAATTATCCAGGCAAGGCACAACTGATATCATCCTTGTCCAAAATCAATATCCAGAAATATCAAACAATTATCCAGGCAAGTCAGAACCCATATCATGCTGATTAAAAATAATTATCCAGAAATATCAAAGAAACAATCCAAGCAACACACAATGGATATCCAGAATCAAATAAATAATATCAGAACGCACACAAAACAGATTATAACATGTAGCAGAGATTTAGAGTGCACCGAAATCTGTACCTCGCCTTGCTTTGACCTCGAGCTGCTCCTTGTTCAGCTCCTTCTACTTCAGCTTCAGCATCTTCTTCTGCACTTCCATCTGATTCGACTTCAGCAGCTTCTTTAGCAGCTCCTTCTTCTTCGACTTCAACATTTTCTTCTTCATCATTTTCATCTGGCCGGGGCGGTGGTGGTGGCTGTCGTGGAGTCGGTCGCTGTTTCCTCTTGGTTGTTTTAGTCCTTACCATTGTTAAATATCTGCACATACAAATACCCAGATCCAATCAAACAACTATCCAAGAAAGTCATAACTGATATCATGATCAAACAAAACCAATATCAAGATACATCAAACGACAACACAGTCAATAAACAACGGATATTCAGAAGGAACAGAACGCATATCTTGATTAACAGAACTAATATCAGAATGAACACAAAGCAAATCCACAAAACCCATAAATAACATCCACATAAGAACGAACTCATATCCACTGACATATAAATTGCCACAAAATAAATATTTCACCCACGAAACCAAAAGACAAATCCACAAATGGAAAACCCGATCGTAGCCATGAAACCCTAACTCAAATCTATCCAAACGAAAATGAATATCCATTGAGACAAATCCACAAAAGGAAAACCCAGATCAAGTCGTAGCCATGAAACCCTAACTCAAATCTATCCAAACGAAAATGAATATCCATGAAGACAAATCAACAAAAGGAAAACCCATGAACAAAGTATAAAGACAGTTACCTTAGTCCAAATCTTCGCCGCCGTGAAAGCCCCGCCTTCGTCGCCGCCGAAATCCCCCTTCGCTCGCCGCTGCTTCCATCGCCGCCGCAGCGCTCGCCGCCGCAGCGCTCGCCGCCGCTTCGCTCGTCCCTCGCCGCCGCTTCCTTCGTCCGCCGCTTGCTTATTCGTCGTTTTCGTGAGAGGAGGAAAGTGGGGGAGAGAGGGGAAGTCGAAGTGGGGGAGAGTCGCCGCCGCTTCGCTCGCCGGCGCTTTGCTGGTGCCTCGCCGCCGCTTCCTTCGTCGCCGCCGGTTTCGTCGCCGCTTCGTTTTCGTGAGAGGAGGAAAGTGGGGGAGAGAGGGGAAGTCGAAGTGGGGGGAGAGTGGCGTGAGAAACTGAAATGGGGAAAGGGGTGTTTCAGTTTTTGGTTTTTGAAATTGTGGGCCCGATGGGCTTGGTCAGCCATGGGCTCGACCAGCCGACCCAAACGGGCAAACCCTTCCTCAACCCAAACCCAGCACCATCTGACCCTCGCCCACGTGGACAACAGATCCACCGTGTGAGTAGATACTCACACTTTATGCTGTGAGCAGCATAACTAAGTTGCAATTTAGGGTGGAAAATTTTATAACTTAGGGCGTGAAATAAAAAAACTAGTACAATTATCATGATTTTACATTTCATCACTCTCACCCATAGGTGGAGCCAGGATGGTTGGAAGGTGTCTATCATAAATTAATAAATCAACTTCTTCTTCGCCTTCTCCTTCCCATTCCCTATTTATCGCTCCAGCCTCGCAACAAAAAAACCTGCAAAACAAAGAACTAAACATGAGAGTACCCTTAACCCTCCCACCGTTCACTTGTCATCGCCCGCCATTTAAACCCAGAAATCAACCAAACAAAAGCATGGATTAGCCAAGCCTAGAAAAAAATCGAAGCAAACAAATTTGAATCAAATTTTCCAAGGAGGATGGATCGGGATCGGCTCCTTCTGTTTAAGGTCGCGTATGCATCATCGGTAGCCTATGTCGCGGTCGGAAATGGCGTTGTGACCTTCCTCCTTCTGTAGTTGATCTCCATCAACCTCCTTTGTCCTCGGGCGAGCTTTTCAGGACCAGAAGAAGAAGAGGAGGAAGTCGAACAGATCCGACGAGAGACACTTTTCTAATCTTGTCTTCGTGGTGCGGTTCTTCTTACCGCTCTGCCTCCTGAGAGTTCTGGAATATGGAGAGGAAAAAAAACAATGCTGTCAAAGCCGAGCCGGAGTATGACCCGGTAACGTGAACGGCTCGGTCATTAGTGGTCCAGCCGGCATTAGACCGTTTAAAACCCGTTTGAGAACCAGTACCTAATAAACAGTCATCTGTAATAGTAGACACTTCTTAATCATGGTAAACCACAAGTAAATTACTCTCTTAAACCATTCTAGAACATCAGTACCGAAAGATCTAAAATTCAATTCAAAACCACCACATTGTTCCAAAATATAAGAAATATCACACGAGTCTGAACATTAAACAAGAGTCTTAAACATGGAAACCACTCAAAGTCTCAAACTCAAACAACTATCAAATACAACTTCATCATCATTTCATCCACCATCACTAGCATCAGATGAATCACTGCTTGAAGACGCCATCCCAATTGCTGTGCTACAATCATGTCCATCAACATCTAATAAGTAAACAAAAATATGTTAGAAATCATGTGTTAAAAATATATCAAAGTTGAACATTCTTCATTTACTAATAATATGTCAATCCAACCTTCATTGCGACCTCTTTTCCTACTTGTAGTTCCACTTCCTTCAGGAACGTCATTAGCATTATTATCACCCATAGCTTGCATCAACTCATCAAAGCTAAGATCTGGAGTTGGATCCTCTTCCTCATCCATAACCCAAAATTCAGTGGCATTAATCCATTCATAGTCAAATGGATCAACCAAGAACTTACTTTTTCTAGTACGAGACCTATGAATGATTAAATACAAGTCAAATATGTCACTATTTCATGGCAAAAATATTTTGTACTCAAATCAAACATATTTGCTGTTTATCACATACCTCTTTCCTAGCTTCATGTTGTAGTTCACAAAGACTAGATTGCTTAGTCTTTCATGCTCTATATTGTTCCTCTTCTTGGTGTGAATCCGCTCGAACACACTCCAATTTCTTTCACATCCAGAAGAGGCAGAAGTTTGGCTTAGGACTCGAAGTGCAAGGTTCTTCAACAATGGTGCACTATCACCAAAGGTATTCCACCAATCATCTACAAAGAAAAATAATTTATTAGAACAAACACAATTAAATAGACCAACTATTGCATTACAAATCATGATACTTCATATTACCTGGATCAAGTGACGATCTACCTCTAACAGCCAAGTCCCTACCAAAAGTCCCCTTCGCTTCCTCAAACAGTTTCAGTTCCTTACATGCTTGCAAACCATCACTACAAAGTTGGGGATTTTCAAGCAAGTTTATTATAGCCCCCTTCACCTCAATGCTCCCCACATATTCCTCATCATATTTGAGAGCAGGATTGAAGAAATAAGCTGCTTTGACTAGATCCCCCCGGAAATGCTTATCCCACCTTTTGTTGATGATGTCAATGTAAGGCTTGTACAAAGTCTCTTTACCTAAAAATATTTCTTTGATTCCCTTAACTGCTCTTCTCATTCCCTCATAAACATAAGCAAGAGTGGGCTTCTCACCCGAATCCACAAGCTTCAGCAACTTCATGACTGGTTGAGCCACATTTGACATCTCTAAACAATCACCCCAAAACTGAGCATCTAACAATATATTACTCATCGCCTTTCCTTTTGCAGTCTTAGATGATTCATCTGCATTGAAGAACTCACTCACTGCTAAAGCTTGTAAATCAACCTTGTGCTCATACACACTCTTCATGGAGAGGAAATTAGTAGCAAAGCGAGTTGCACCAGGTCTCACTATTTGCTTCCAATTTGGCCTTGCTTTCAACCAATTAATCACAGGAGAATGATTATAAACAAACACAATGACTCTTCTAGCCTTTTGAATGACAGCCTTCACATTCTCCAAATCTCCAAAATCACTCAATATCAAATTCATGCAATGAGTTGCACATGGAGACCAATAAATATGTGGATAAGTCTTATGAATAATCTTACCACATGACTTGTAGTTAGCTGCATTATCAGTGACCACATGAACCACATTGCCCACACCAATCCACTGAATTGCTTCATCAAATATATTGAAAAGGTTATTTGTAGTCTTCACAACCGTTGCTGCATCAACATATTTAAGTAAACAAAGACCTCTACTGCAATAGACCAATAGATTGACCAAACTTCTACCTTGTTGATCAGTCCAACCATCAACCATTAAAGTACATCCACGCTGTCCCCAAACGGCTCGGTGTTGATCAACAATTAGCTAGGTTTCTCTCTTCCAATCAACTAGTAAAGGCACCCTTAAATCATGATATGATGGTACCTTAAATCCTGGACCAATAGCCATTGCAGCATCAAACATCCTCTGCCAACTATCTGAGTGAGCTACATTAAAAGGTATGCAATTCTCGTAGAAGAATTCTGCACAAATCATATGAGCTCTATGAATTGCATCCTTAGTAGCCATTTCACTTTTGATGCTTGGTTGCAAGCAAAAAAGTCAGCTCCCTTAGCTTTCTTCATCAAGTCACTAACATTTTTAGTTGCATGTGATCTCTCTAACTCAACCACATCATCATCTTTGTCACCAATGATAGGATCATTAGATTTCGACTTTCCTTCCTTCTTTTCATCATATTCTTTAAGAATATTTGCAAATCTCAGACGCACATCATAGGGAACTTTTGAGCATTTCACAATATTCCCTTTAGAATAATGAGCAAGATGCTCTTTCATCCAATGAATCCCCCCTCCCCTTTTCTCAATTCCACATAGCATGCATTTGAGTGCCAGCACCTTCCCATTATCATCTTTGATTTCTTGGATGTAATTCCAAGCAGGATCATTCTTTCCTCGACCAGCTTGCCCAGTTGAAGCAGTAGAGCTTAGTGTTGTTGATTGAGTACCACTATCTGGATTTGGAGTACTCATCTACAAAAGAAAGATCAAATTAGCAACTAAAATGGGAATCAGCCCACAGAAACAAACTTCTTTAAGTCTCAGTGAGCAACATAAGCTAGATTAAGAAAAATGCACTTAAGGGATCCACAGTTTGCTAGCACTCAGCAACTGATTGAAGGAAACCCACAAATTACTGTCCACTAATCAAACAATACAGTCACGCCACGCACCATACTAATAAGCCATTAGTTCAAGCCCAAAAGTTTGAATCTTTTACCTCGGCAGGGGCCAGTAGACTGGAGAGACGAGAAGAGCGGGAAGCCGGATAGGGAATCGGCGGGCACGCGGCTACCGATGGATTTGCGGCGACGATTCGGAAATGCAATCAGCACCAAGAACACCGATGGACGACCGAAGGCGCTGGGGGAGATGGCGATGGCGACGGCGACGGGTCACAGGCGACGGGGTAAACGGCGATGGAGACAGGGAACGGCGACGAGGAGGAACGGCGCTGGGGAAGATGGCGATGGCGACGGCGACGGGTCACAGGCTACGGGGAAGACGACGATGGAGACGGGGAACGGCGACGAGGAGGAACGGCGGCGATGGAGACGGGGAACGGCGGCGTTGGAGACGGGGAACGGCGACGAGGAGGAAGGATTTGTAGTCGGAAGCGGCGTTTCCTTGTCTCCACGAAGAAGAATGAAAATTAGGGTTCTGCAGAACAGCCCGACCCCGACCCACCTTCACCTTTAATTTTCGGTCTTTTTGTTTTTTTTAATTAAACCAACCGGCCGAATGTAAAAAACCGAACGACCGGCTCGAACGGTTAACCGCTTCGGCCGCTCGCCGGCCGCCCCAGAGAACCAGTCCGGCTAAATAGCTTATCCGAGCCGGTTTTGTGCCCGGTTGGCGGTTTTGGCGGCTCGGCTTTGACAACACTGAAAAAAGAGAAGGAGAAGGCGAAGAAGAAGAAGAAGAAGAAGAAGAAGAAAGAAGAAGAAAGAAGAACGAGGAGCTGGGGGAGGGGACTGGATATATCATCAGTTTTTTCGGGTTTACAGGACCAAACAGATATATATTTTGGTTTGGACTGACCGAACCGAAATATAGTTCTTTTCAAATTCAGTTTGAGGTTTAGAGGAGTTTGAGGACCCGATATGCTTCATTTCTATTCGGTTTCGACCGAACCGAATCAAAGCCCAGCCCTACTCTACCCATTGTAACTACAAATTAAAAAGATTTTCAGCTTTGAGCTATATTAAGAACGAGTTTTGAAGTAATTGCGACGATTTTTCTAATGATTGCTTAGTGTGGTACATTGACAAAAGAATTACTTAAAAGTATAGACTACGAAAACGTGTTGTGGTTATTCATAAAAATAATTATTATATTAGTCGGATATTTCTTTATTATCTATGAACGCATTATTTGAATATTACTAGCTTTAATTATATTTATGAAATAATTAATTTCTTTTATATATTTATATTATAGAAAGAGGACATGAGTAATTTTGAATTATGGTTCCGCTATCACCTACGTATAAATTTGTGTTAAATCAGATAGATACAAGGGAACTAAATTGGGGCTGGCAGAGATGGGTTGGATTTACGTGTAATTTTCTTCACCTCTAAATTGATTTGCTCCTTATCGTGTATTTCCAAGTTGGTCACAAGTTTGGGTTTCAAATCGCCAAGATTTTTTTAATTTTTTGGTTCGAAGGGTATTTCAATTTCAACATTAGCAGACAAAGCTTGATAAAGAAAACATTGGCAGACAAAGAATAATAGGTAGAGAGAAAATACATTAGGGGAAATGGACAACCATCTTTCGTAGAAGCCTCACGTTTGTTTCAAGGCATGGTCCGGAAACAGTGAATCGTTTGGTGCCGCACATGAAATGAGTGGTCGACGAGGGTCATATACTCAAAATATCATCCATCCGACATATGCTCGTTCAGATTTTGTGAATCATATCGTCCAAAAAATGGCTAACATTGGTGGTTTGGACTTGTGGATGTATTATTTTGATTCTCTAGTTTAAATCAAAATGTTGTATTATTTTTATATGTGGTATTTTAATTTGAAATGTGCTAATTAAATCTAATTATTGCCTCACATAGTGTGGCAGTTCACCACTTAAGTTGGGAGGAGAGAGTTAATTAAAATGTCTAGTGGTGCCTCTGGTGGGAAGGTATCTCACTTTACTTATTATACATCATTTCAATTGACACGAAATCATATTACCACAACTCACTTTTGTTTACCAACCGAATTATTTCAACCGGAAAAACCCATTTTTGAGTTATTTAGACTGAAAATCTCGTATAAATGTTGTATCCAAATCACCCAAAGAACACTTGGGCCGTTGCACTTTTAGATTATTGTTATTTAGATCACTAATTTATTTCTTAATCTCAAGTTAAGGCTTCGAGTTTGCAATTACGGTGTTGTTAGGGTTTTGTTGGGCTTTGAGTTTTGTGCGCTCTTTTTTCTTTGATCATATTTATCTCCCATCCTATATCCGGGTGTCACGGTGTGGTTGATTACCTAATTCTTTAAGGAAGGCACCTAATTCTTTAAGGAAGGAGGATTAGGTGACTAACGAGTCCTTTGTCACTTGACTAAACCCCTCCCAGCTTTTAGATGACTAACGAGTCCTAATTCTTTAAGGAAGGAGGATTAGGTGACTAACGAGTCCTTAGTCACTTGACTAAACCCCTCCCAACCTAATTCTTTAAACGGTTAATAAATGAAAAGGACTTTTTAATTACTAACATGGGTAGTTTGAGTATTATGAAAAATTACTAAGTATACAAAACGGACTTACAAACAATACAAACTAGAACGACAACACATAAAAATAGATTTTCAAATAGTACAAACATACAAACTATACAAACAATACAAAGTAAACCGACAAACAATACAAAATATAAAAAATGGAAAAACAACCAGGTTGACTTTGGAGGATCCATCCCTATATTGAGTATCACCGTCTGAAAGTCAACCCGGTTGTTTTTAGACATACAAACATGGTGACAAAAATGACAAACTATATCGACAAACCATACAAAATAGAAAAAACACCCAGGTTGACTTTGGAGACATCATCTCTATATAAAGGGGTTACTTTAAAAAGTCAACCAGATTTTTTTTCTAAATAAAAAACATAACAAACCTGGTTGGCAAAAGTAACAAAGCTTACAAATATTACAAAAAAAAAAATCCAACAAACATTACAAAATAACAAAGTTTACAAACATTACAAAATAAACTGACAAACATTACAAAGTATACTACTAACAATACAAACACACTACTTACAATACAAATCGATAACATTGTATTACAAATCAATGAATACAAAGTATACAAATCATAGCATAAATTATACAAACTAGACTAACAAATATTATAAATTACAATGTAAACAAATTATTCATATAAACATTACAAACATAATAGATAAAAATGATAAACTAGAATGATAAACGATGCAAACTGAATTTATACAAAATCACAAAACATACTTACAAACATTACAAAATCATCCGGCAAACATAACAAAACAAATGTTGTCGCTGGAAAATCCTCTCCGCCGCCACTGGAAAATTCGTCGCCGCCGTAAAAATCATCTCTCTCTAAAGTGAAGTGGGAGGGAATTCTTTTACAAAAATCCCTAGTACCGCAGAAAGCTTCCCAAGCCGTCGGAAAGGGATGAAAAACCAGCCTGCAGAAGAGACGGGGACGGGATCCAGCGCTGGAAAATTTCTCAGGCTGGCGGACGGGATGGGAAAGCAGCCGACGGAAGGAACCGAAAGTCGGGAGCGGGAATTTGTATTTATTCACTTTATAATAAAATTTAAAATAATTATACAATTACTATATTACCCTTCATTAATTTAGATTAATTGGAGCATTGGATTTTAATGAAGTGAAAAGGCTGAGATTCACTTAGTCATGTGACTAAGTATCCCGGAAAAAATCCAAAAGTACCACTATTTAAAAAAAAATTCCAAAAATACCACCCAACCCCAAAAAATTCCAAAAATACCACCATTTTTCAAAAACCGCCACCCCACCCTGCGGTTTACACGAAAACCGTTTGTCGGGGGCGCTGTTTTCTATGCAAACCGCGGGCCTAGGGATTATTTTTATGCAAAAACCGCCACCCCACCTAGCGGTTTGGTCTATTTTTTTTTTCGATCAACTCCTAACTTCGGCCGAAACTTCAAACAAACGTAACTTTTCACTCGGGTATCCGATCATAGCGAATTTTTTTTCATTTCACATAACTTTTCAAGATCTACAACTTATACTAGGATGGAATTTTCAAAACAGGAACTATTTGTGGATATACCGGACCTTGGGAATAACTTTACCTTTACTTTTCACAAATCCATGGCCATTTGAAATTATGATTATATTAAAAGTTGTAGATCACGAAGGCAGGACCCGGCGGTTTGCGGCTTGCAAGATCTCAAAAAGTTATTCGGATTCAAAAAATGGAGGCCGCAAACTTTTTGAGATCTTGTAAGCCGCATACCGCCGGGTCTCGCCTTTCGTCAAACTTTGGACGGCCATAACTTTGTGCTCCAAATTCCGAATGTTATGAATTTTTTTTGATTCCTCATAACTTTTCAAAATCTACAACTTTTAATATAATCATAATTTCAAAATGTACATGGATTTGTGAAAATTAAAGGTAAAGTTATTCTCAAGGTCCCGTATATCCACAAATAGTTCTTGTTTTGAAACTTTTATCCTAGTAAAAGTTGTAGATGTTGAAAAGTTATGCGAAATGAAAAAAATATCGCTACGATCGGATACCCGAGTGCAAAGTTACGTTCGTTTGAAGTTTCGGCCGAAGTTAGGAGTTAGATCGGAAAAAAAAAATTGGACCAAACCGCTGGTAGGGGTGTACATGGGTCGGTTGGTTCGGGTTTAAGTATTTTAATCACCCGACCCATGCACTACGGTTTGGAAATTATCAAACTCAAACCCATCCAAAAATATTTAAACCCAACGGTTTTTTTCTAATTGGGTTGGGTCGGGTTGGAGATATTTTTAAGTAAAAACCCAACCCAACATAAAATATATAATTATTATACACCATAAAATATTTTATAACTAATTAAAATTTCAAACAAATAAACCGAGGTGAAAGGGATCAAAATTCACAAAAGTTGTTTGAGTTTTAATAAAATGTGATTAACTTCAACATATGTCTAGTTTTTTTCACGATATTTGTTGAAATAGGCTAAAAAGGTTATAAACAAATGCATCATAATATGTTATTCTATTAAAATTGTACACAAGAAAAAGGATTACATGAATCATAATTATATTCAATTTATGTCTAAACTTTAAGTCGAAGAATGCATTAGATTAGGGAGACCATGATAGAAAAACATGGCGAAATATCTTAATTTTCACATAAGTATGGCTATATACGACATAAATATTTTTTAGATACGAACTCATACTAATAGTTGGAACACGGGTTGGGTCGGGTTCTACGGGTTGTGTAATCCAAAATCCAAACCCAACCCAAAAGAGGCGGGTTGTACAAAAGAAAACCCTCACCCAACCCAAAACCTTCGTTTTAGCGATAAATACGGGTGGGTTGGGTCGGGTTGGACGGGTGGATCGGTTTGCGGGTGTGTTTGTTCACCCCTAACCGCTGGGTGGGGTGGCGGTTTTGGGCCAAACCGCCACCCCACCCAGCGGTTTGGTCCAAATTTTTTTTTTTTATAACCGCCAGGCCCGCGGTTTGCATAGAAAACCGCACCCCCGACAAGCGGTTTTCGTGTAAACCGCAGGGCGGGGTGGCGGTTTTTGAAAAAGGTGGTATTTTTGGAATTTTTTGGGGTTGAGTGGTATTTTTGGAATTCTTTTTTTAAACAGTGGTATTTCTGGAAAAAGTCCAAGTATCCCCCTAATCACCTGATCTTAGCCATTCTCTAAGGGTGTGTTTTGTTTGGATAGAATGATTTGGTATTTGTAATTTGAATTTCTAAATATCAAATAATTTGTTTGGATATTAATTACATTTGGTATTTGGATTTGTGCCAAATTCATTGGGTGATTTCCAAATACATGTCTAGTGTATTACTTGTCA